TAATTAAAATGTGGCTACTTTTTTTCTCCACTTGAAACGTTTGCAAGCATAGAAAAATATCTTCAAAAATACTCATTGAAAATCGCATTTTTGTTACTAGCTATTTGTTGAATAAAAGAAACAATAGAACGTAAGAACGAGGGAACAATAAGAATTGTTTTAATCCTCCAATCACAAGAAATCTTACAAACTCTTGAAGGATAATAGTTCCCGTCGACCATTTCGACCATATGTTTTACGTGCAGGGAATCAAGCTATCATCGATGAGAACCAAAGCCGCTGAGGAGATGGCAGACGAAGGTGATACCGCAGGCGCGGCCATAGTACAAGCCAGAACAAAATTCCTTACACAAGTAAGATATTCATTGAAAATTGCATTAATAATGCATGAGTTGCTCGTCCAATGAGGATTGTCTGTTAGGTCAGGTGATTGACCTTAAGGCCGATTTACTATGTCAAACAATTGCCTAACATTCGCGCGGGCTACCTGTGTCTTTTGTGAGATTCCTTATTTTCAAGGATGGGAGGGGACTAGGACAAAATTATAATGTTCGACATGTTGAAAAGCGATTTCTCTGCAAATTCTGTAAGTTTTAGACATTTTAAAGCACTAAAAGGTGGAAAAAACTTGAAAAAAACTTTCTATCGTACTTCCTTATAAGGTAAGATTACCATATATAGTCAGCAAAAGTTTGGCAAACGAATGAATGTTTCTCGGAGGCAATTGTTTGATATGTATCGCATGCAACCTGCGTCAGCCTTATAACATGGCTACAACTGTCGTAGGAATTTCAAACAATTGCTTAATAGCCCCACGACAGTTGTAGCCATGTTGTAAGGATGACTTACGCAGGTTGCATGCGATGGATGTAGGCAAAAGTTGTGTCGTCTAATTCGGTCTTAATACCAGGAACCAATTGTACTGTGATTGGATGAAATTTTTTATCGGATATATATTTTTTAAAACTGGTTGATAGCTCCATTCGACCCTCGTACAATTATTCCATGTGTTGCATTAGATTTGCAACGGAAAAATTGTGAAAAAAAGAGAACAGAAAAAAGTGGGAAATGATGAAATGAATGATTTGTTTGTTTTCATTAAGGTGTTGAAAAAGAACATGATTGAAAACATCGTACCGATCATCGTTGAGCTGAAGCACATGGTATGTATGCAACTGAACTCTTCCTTAATTACTTTCTCCCTCTCCATTTCTCCTTTCCTTTTCCCTCTCCATGTATTCCTTCTTCATATTATATGCATGGTATATCCTCATTCCCTTCACTCTTTCATTCCTACGTCCCTTCTTTCATTTTTTCCCTCCCTCCCCTCCCTCACTACCTTAACACCTTTATTCACTCTTTCCTTCATCCGTTACTTCATTCTTTCTTTCCCTCCCTCACTACCTTCCCGTTTTCCTTTCCCTGTCCTCGTTTCCTCTTCTTTCCTTCATTCCTCTCTTCCCTGCCTCCTACCCTATCTTATCACTTCCTTGCTTCTTTCGCTCCTTATTCCGTTTCTTCCTTTCATTTCTTCTTCAACCCCCACTCCTTCAGTCCCTTCCTTTCATCTGTAGTCCACCTTCACCCACTTTCCATCAACCTTCCCAATATTTCCTCTGGTATAAAGAAGGAATTTTACCAATCCTTTTCGAATTATTTCAGTTCGAAAAGGAACGCTCACCCCTTCTCAAAGACCTGCTGGGATACCTCAAAGAAGTCATGAAAGACTACCGCAATGAAGTCAAAGGTGCGATAAAAAATATCATTATTTGTTTCTTGATAATATGTTCATTATACTACAGTCTCTATTAAGCGGTCAACTTGGGGAATCAGACCGGATGGCCGCTTAATAKAGGTTGACCGTTTAAAAGAGGTCATGTTTACGGTAAATATATCAGAATGACTTTTTTGGAAACTTATAGATGACCGCTTAATACAAGTTGACCGATTAATAGAGGTCATGTTTACAGTAGATATATATGAGAATCGACTCTTTCGAAAATTTATGAGTGGTCGCTTAATGGAGGGTGACCGCTTAATGGAGGATGACCGCTTAATGGAGGTTGGCCGTTTTAAAGAGGTCATATTTACAGTACGAATATATGCGAATCGACTATTGGGTACTCATGAGTGACCGCTAAATGGAGGTTGACCGTTAAATAGAGGTTCCACTGTTTAAATATTGATTTGTTGCCTTCCTGCTTTTTACCCCCCACAGAGGTTCTGTCCGCTGACAATCAGCTGGCCAATGAGATTGAGTTTGATTTGCGTAAATTTGAAGAAGAACAGAAAGAACTTCAAGAGCAAAAGAAGCGAAGTCAACAAGAAACAGCAATGGTAGGAATACACCTTTTCAGTTACACTTAGGCCTCGATAGCAAGTTAATTATTGTTTTGAATTTGACAAATGAGACTATTCATATCAATGTTTGCATTGCTCACATTCCTACAAATTCAAAAGAATATTTAATGTGCGGTCGAGGCCTACCAGCGATTGAAAAGGTGTATTAAATAGAATATGCGAGGAGTGTTGTATGCCAAATATTCAATGTAGTGGGAATAGCAAACATGTCTGACACATAACAGTAGCCGCTGACCAGGGATACTCGGCGACGACTCCCAGTATCAAGTCTAAAAACATGTATTTATTTTATTTATATTTTTATGCAGTGACGCCATGCTGTACAGCAAAGCATTTTGGGGTTTAAGTCCTCGTATTTTTGARACCTCCAGAGCCGCTTTTGTTTTTCTTTTGCAAAAAATAGAAATAGTTGTGTCGTTTTTTACAAAGAAAAATGCTTTTTAGTTTAAGATTTTTTAGAGGGATAGGACGACGGCGAGGACTCTACTACCATCATGCTTTATTGTACAAAATGGCGTCGATTCCCTTTGATTATTGTTATGCATTGAAACTGCCTTCCCTCGTGATCTATACTCCCGGAACTTGTCGGATAGCGGGGATTTGGACAAATATTGATTCATGTTGTTATTCAATTGTCTCCAGACTCCAGGAACTACACCCGGTTATCAGAGTCCGAGAGGGAATCAGTCCAAGTTCATTACTCCGCCTTTGAGTTCAGGAAATGGGATTTGTAAGTAAATACAATGTTATTACAAACAAGAGAATTACAAAATGAAAATACCACGGAAATACAACAAAATTGTTATCAAAATTACAAACCTTGTATTTGGAAGCTGAATGCTTTCTTGAAAGCTCCAGTGATCATGGTACTTTCAGAAATG